GGGGGGGGGGAGGGGGGTAAGAGATTGATATTGTAATAGTCAGTACCAAGTACACAATCTTAATTCCAAATTATACATAAGATACCCCAAATGGCAGAGATGAAAATACAATTGCTAATATGTACATTCTCAAAGCAGAATAGCTTCATTCAACCAGAATTACTGAAATTCTTTGGAGTTGGTTTTTACTCCATAAAATTAAGAAATCTTTTTTTCCAAATCCCTATTCTAGGCCATCAAAAAATTTTTACCTTCTTTTAGCTCCAAAGTGCTATAGTATACATCTACTACTCCTGTAAGGGATGATTCTTGAAATATATCTTTCCTCGTACAATCATTTCTTGATAATTCTCCAATTGAGGCTAAGGCTAAAAGCTCAGATTCATCTAAACCTCTTGCTGAACCAAGACTACATCGATCTTTCCCATATTTTGCTAATGAGTCTCTGAATTTCTTTATCTGCACAAGTACAAATTTTAAGTGTAATGTAGAGTTTGGGGAGGATAGTGTGTACGAGATTGTTTATGATAAACCTTCAGTCCAAAGAAAGATGAAAAAAAAAGAAAGAAGCATCAAGCAGTATTTCAGTAAGTGATAAACTAAATAATTCAGCAAACTATTCTACAGAGAGTAAAATATCAATAAAACCAAGAGAAACATCTCACTATAGTAATGGGACATACAGAGGATCTGAGTTCCGAATGAATGTAATCTTATTATATAATTAAATTATAAATATTTTTGCATACATATGCATAATTGGAATCAAAAGTAATAGGTTCAATTGAACCCACAAGAACCACCCTAAATCCGCCCCCGTCCAAGAAAATTTGAAATACTTACTGTTGCATTGGTACAGCTGAAGCTACAAACTTTGCCTTGTGCACCCCTATAGAATCTGAAGAAAGGTAAGACAGGGATATGAAGAGCATTGCACATGGTTTTCAGTTCTTCATAGTTTACTTTGAGGAATATAGCATTGGGGTTTGATTTTCAGCTAACTGACAGATCTGCAAACATCAATATTAGCACCAGTTATAACTTCTAACTTCTTTATTTATTTTTATTTTATGTTTAAATGGATCGGCATAGATAGTGATGATTCATATAGTAAACCTCAACTTGCTTAGGATTACGGCGTAGTTCTTGCTTTTGCATTGCTATATATTATACCTTTGGATGTAAAGTTTTACAACCTCCACAGCTAGGAGAGTAGAAGTCAATTATGACCAATCTATCACCAGCTTTTAATAATAAACCAACAAGTTGTTGTGCTGAACTGATCTCTACCACGTTGGGTTTAAGGGTCTTCTCCCACCATCTCTGAGCATCAATTGATACTTGTGCCTAAGATCATTAGAATAAACACTTATAAATGGTTTGATCTCGAAAAATTAAAAACAAGAATGAAACATGAAAACACCAGGTATAAACACAGAAGCAAATGTATCAGGATTTACATACAGAAAGTCGTTCAACATTCCAATGGTTAGTACCAATGTGATCTGATGTATAATCCAAGGGTTTGCCTAGAAATTCTCTGGATGCTAAATCTTTAAGTTGCAGAGTGCCAATGGAAGGGCAACGACGACGAGACCCTTTGGCTGTGGAGTTGAAACAGGGAACAGAAACGGAAAAACCAGTATTCAAAGAACAAGCCATTGTCACTAAAATCTTAGGTGCTTAATTTGTCAAGGTTGTAGCATCTAAAAAATATTTCCCAGCCAATTAAAGACCAATTTTTCACCAGAAAATAAAAGATTTAGGAGCATGCAAATTGCTGTTTTCTCCCGTAAATCTATAGAACAAGAATCCAAGTAAGAAATAATCACGTTTTCAATAAAAAAGGCAAAATGAGAGCCAAAAAATATGCTCTTTTTGACCTGTGTATATCTCAGTGGCTAGGAGAGAAGGAAAGTCAAAGAAAATTGTGGCTCTCTTCCTTTTAAAGCTTCCAACGAGACAGAAGATGAGGAATTAATATAAAAAAGAAGTCCCACATCCACCACCACAACCCTAGTTGGTTATTAGGTGGAGATAAGTGATATTTAAGCTGTTAACTTTATCTATTAAAATTTTATCCTTTGTAGGTCAACACAAAACTCTTATAATTCTGGTTTTGAATACAAAATGGGGTAAATATTTGATCCAATTTGGAATAAGGGGAGTAATGATTATGGGCTTGTTTATAGGAGTGTGCTTGCGTGTAATTGAGTTGGCATATTTGTTCTTGTCAATTTTTGGATAATTGAATATTGAATGAGATGCAAAGAATCCGACTTTTTTTTTTCTGAACTAACTTGATTTCAGGATACACTTCGGCAAGAATAAAGCTTGAAAACTTTGTTCTCCTCTATAATTCTCCTTGTTTCATTAGTCTATGTGACTTGCATTGTGGGCACTTCAGATGGTCCATCCATATATATCTAGTTAATTACTAATAGCTTGTTTGGCCAATTTTCTAAAATCAGTTTATTTTGAGAGTTCTTTTTTTGTTTCCTTCAAAATTACTTTTAAAAAAATACTTTTGGTGAGAAACAGTTGTATTTGAGTAATATTATTTGGGAAAACAATATTGTATAGCTGCTCTCAAAATAATGGTCAAAAAAGGTATATTGTTTGTACATATATACCTTCTGTAGGTTATATACAAATATTATACACTTTTTCGGCTACCTAATGTAAATAGCTTCTGGCGCGGGCTAAAAGTGATATTTGCCCCAATTAATTTGAAAAGCATTTTTGAGCAACAATTAGTGTTTGACCAAACTTCTAAAAAGTATTTTTAAGTGTATTTTTTCTCAAAAATATTTTTCAAAAAAGTGCTTTGCGAAGAAGCTACTTTTTGATGCCTTTTCTTCTAATCAAAAACACATTTTTTTTCCTTCCAGAATCTTGGTCAAACACTTTTAACTTTAGGAAAAAAAAATACTTTTGACAAAAACAAAAAGAAAAACTTTTGGCCAAAACGGTCGAATTCGGTTGGAAATCACGAATTTTCGACTACTTTTCAACCGAAATTAGTCGGTCGGAAAATAATTTCCGACCGAATAGATCGGTGATTTCCGACCAAAGTGGTCGCAAAGTTCAAAAAGGTTAGACGACCAAATATTTCACATTTCCTACCAGAGTGGTCGGAACTTACCGGCTGAATCAGTCGTAATATTACAAATAAAATAATTATTTATTTAAAATTAAATAATACATATATCATTTCCGACCGAATCGGTTGGAAGTTAATAATTAATACTTCAATTTTATTTAATTTCCGATGGAATCTGTCGAAAACTATTGGATATTAATTTATTTTTTAAATTTTCGACCGAATCGGTCGGAAATATGGGAATTTATGGTTAAATCTGGGCAGCTGTCCGACTGCTCCCGTCGGAATTCTGTTGGAATTTTCTATAAAACTGGGCAGAATTCTGCCCAATTTTGAGCTACACCACCTGTCAAACTCTTACAATACAATAATACCAACCAACAATACATTAACACAATCTAAACCAACGATACATTAACACAATCTAAACCAACAATACATTAAAACAATCTAAACCAACATGCCAACCATTAACACAACTTAAACCAACAATACCAACCATTACACCTATCAATTTTGGGCATAAAAACATCCAAATAGTAACCCACATTCAAGTTTTAAAACAATACATAAAGTTGTCTCTCACAATCAAGTTTACCAATCAACCAAAACATCACAACTAAACTACTATACATCAGATTTAGTTTGTTCATCCTCATCATTAGATAAATCATGCCCATGTTTCTCATGAATTTCTGCATCTTAACAAATGTTCCGTATTGGGAGTCCAATTGTTGCTTCAAATCACGAATTTTGTTTCTCATATCTTCCCTCTGTTCTTGATTTTGAGAAGAAGAAGAAGAATTGGCAAATAGTGGGCTGGATGACCTGTAGGTCGACGTACTCCTAGTCCGTAGACTCTGTCTTTATTTAATCCACCCCTGCCTCTGTCCACAATGAAGCCATATCATAAGGTGTTAGTTGAGTTGAAGGAGGCTGAGTTTGTTGCCATTCTTCCACCTTTTATGATAATCTTCCTGAAATGAAAACATAACTATTATGTAAACAAACTAATATTAATAAACCACAAATAATTATGAAGTTAATATTTTACATATGTGTCTGACGCACGCGTCTCCACCCAGTGTTCTCTAGTACCATCCTTCTACTTTTTCTTACGCAACTCCTCGAAGACCTCATCGTGACTCATATCTCGCCCTCTTTCCTTTTCCTTCGTAACAAAAAGTACAAGTTAGACATTACAAATGTAAAATTCTATATGTAAAACTAAGAAATTTTTTATAAGTAATTACCAATCTTAGTTTATGGGCTGCAAAAGTAATCGAACCTCCTGTGTGCAACGAGCCACCTTTACTAAAGGCACGGTTTGCCTTTGCTTGTTCACTCTTCGCCTTCCATTCTGCGGTATTCCATTTCTCAAGAAGTTTATCCGAAACATCTTTTCTTAACCAATCTGGCATTTTACCGACATTCCGAGCAGCGCACATAGTATCTTTAATTTGCCGAGCAGCCTTCTTCTCAAAAATACTATTTATTTCATTTTGATGCTGAGGATGCCATGTACACTTTGTCTGCAACATAAAAAAGTAACATTAGATGAAGAAGAAAACTATTAAATAAATATAATTAATTTTTACCCTAAATTGATTCCACATTTGCTCTCTGATGCGGTACGATATCTGTCTCCAAGAAGTCCACAGCTCATGATAAAATGGCTTCAAAGAATCCACAACCAAATGTGTAGTCTGAAAGGATGGCAAAAACCTGCATTAAAATTAACATATATATAATTAATAAACATCTTAAGTTTAATTGCAAATAAAACTTTAAACTATTTCAACATATAAAAATTAAAGAATTCAAATAGAATAAATATATTAAAGCATTTAATTTAAGCATAATTGTCATAAGTCATAGACTAATCTACAACAACAATTTAATAATTTAATGGATAAAAATGATAATAGATTTCAATTAAACTTAATTCCATAAAAGTCAAAAGATATTAAAAAAGTTATATGCTAGAATTTAGGGCAAAGATCATAAAAGTGTATACAATTTATATTTTTTTTATATAACACACATAAATCAGGGAAAAAAGAATAAACAAATTATGTCAAAGTTCACCTCTAACCATCTTTGTCACCCGTCTTCACCTAAAATAAGTAAGTAAAAAGTCTTTTTCAAATTTTGTAGTAGTGTTGTACTTGTTTTAAGTTACGAAGTCTAAAAATCAATTTCTGAAGTTCAATCTTTTAGGCTTAGTAAGAAACAGTATGAATAAAAAAAATTGATAAATTTAGGTTAGTATAAATCGATTAATCACTTCAATAAGCTGAATACATGTTTTCTAAATTAGATTTAGTGATAGATTACATCAAACTCTCCCCGCATGAAAGCTCGATCCATTGAAGCATCTTGTCGAGCATCTACCAGTCAAATGAAAAACAAAGACGTCTTCTAACAATTTACTAATTCAAGAAGGCAACACATTCAAGAACTGGGTATTGCAAAATCAGTGTATTTTAAAAAAAAAATAACAAAGGAGAATGAGGGAAACTTACGTGGCAGTGGAGGGTCTCGACGGACCTGCAGCGGCGCCGGCAAGTGCTACTGGTTGATGGCAGCGACGAGTTTGGGTGGGGGGAGTTTGAGTGAGAGAGAGAAGAGAGAAGGAGGAAAAGAGGGAAAGGAAAAGAAAGTTTGAGTGAGAGAGAGAGAAGAGAGAAGGAGGAAAAGAAAGGGAGCCGGGAGGGTTTTTTAAAAACCTCTCCGACCGATTCGGTCGGTAAATTGGTCAAAGTAGTCAACCTCGTTTTACTAAACATTTCCGACCGAACCGGTCGCTACTTTTTTTTTTTTTTTTTAAATTGTTTCCACCGAATTGGCCGCTAAGAGTGACGCGGAATTTACCGCCAAAATTTACGACGGATATAGACGGAATATTAGTCGTATCTATTATTAAAAATTGAAAAATATATTTTTGTGCATTTTTCGACAGATTTCGTCGGAAATTTCGGATTGATTCCGTCGGAATTTTCGACTACTTTTTTACGTCAGAAATTTCGATCGTAAATGGGCCGTTTTTTAGTAGTTAAAGAAGCTTGGCCAAAAGTGTTCTTGATCTATATAATGATATTGATCAGTTCTTATATAGTAACTAACATGATAAATCTATTTGAGGCTAGTCCAAAACAAATAAGTTACTAAATTTTTTTTTTAAAAAAAAAACACAAAATCATTGCATAGATCAAGCATAGCATGAAAGAGATAAATTAAAAGATACAGTTTATAAGTCTAGTTTCATGGATATTTGGTTAAGATCATTGATAAAAAGGTCTTTGCCCGTGCTTTTTGTTCTTTTTGCAGCACTTCATTTTTGTTCCATTACCCCCATAGTTTTGGTGCTGCGGGTTTGCTCCTGCCAAGGATTCTGATTCTTCTGGGACTATATCTAATTAAATTGTATTTGTAAAATAATTCTGGAGAAAATAAAATAATATATAAACAGAAATATAAACAAAATAGAAGTTAATCCGAGCCCACTGAATTCACAGTGTTTCCTTAAGGAATTTAACCCCCTCCTAGTACCCAAGGTTGTGGATTATTTCCTTCCAGGATAGAACGAATTTCACACTGGTGTAGTGGTACTTCAAACCCCAGTGTTTCAGCGAATACAAAGTTTGATAGCAAACTACACTTACTGTTGCTTTCTTTGAAGTTAAAACAATGCAGAAGAAAGGAAGAGAACTCAGAAAATCGTATGGAAAATCTGAGAGAATGGACTGGTATTTATAGCTAATGTTGAGCTCAAAACTGAAGATTTGCAACTCTTCGGAATGACTGTCTATGTAAAACGGCCATAACATAAATGGCTATTTACACAACAATAAACCGGGAATTGAAGAGGGAGGTTAATTTCAGTTACAAAACCGAAAAAGTGAAAACGGATAACGAAAATAAAACCTTTAATATTTCCGTTGGATTTAATATTAATATTCCGTTGGATTTCTGTTAATATTTGCTACTAACAAATAAATTTGGTCCAAAAAATTAATCAATCAATTTAACGAAACCGAAGCCGAGCGAGCGCCGACAACGACGGCGTGAGGCTTGCCTTCTTCTTAACTCTTAAGAGCTAGAAGAAGTGCAATTGTATATATACCCATCAAAAAACCTTTTCCTCTTCCAATATGGGACAATGTCCCTTTGTCAAGAAGGGAATCTCAAATGAAACTCAAATATTTTATTTTCTCTCCATTTCCCATTCACCCTCTTTTAAGCCTAATTTAGCTTAAAACCTCAACACTATATACAGTTGCCCTCGCCTGCATGCGGATTCTGAATTTTTGCGTTTTCAAGATTATAAATTCTTTTTTTGAATATGGGAGGACCCCCTCCAAAAAAATAAATAAATTGTATGTCTATATTTTGATTGAGTGGTGGTAATGAGTCATTAGATGTTCTGTTTTTGTAATTTTCTATAAAAGTTTTATTTTCCGAAAAAATGATCGTTTAGTTACAAGTGCACATGACCCTGTGTCCAGTACTTTAATATATCCGAGAAATACCAGTAGTTAGTGCTTTCCTACATTGCTGGAAACTGGAAAGCGAACCTGTATTTCTTCTCTCTTACGTTAGTTTCTGATATATAAACACTGGCGACGATTTCTGACCAACAGGCCCATTAGCTCAGTTGGTTAGAGCGTCGTGCTAATAACGCGAAGGTCGCAGGTTCGAGACCTGCATGGGCCACTTTTTTGTTTTTTTTGTTTTATGTTTTCTTGGAAGCTATCTTCTCTGCTTTTCTTGTTAGGAGTCAAGATCTGGGCTTCTCTCTGGCCTTGAAGGTAAGTAGGTAACTAGTCTTCTCCTAAATATTTTGTTTAATATATCCCTGAAAGATGAAATATTCATCAAATTTGCTGTCTTTCATCCTGGTATTGAGTTTTATGATACTGATTTTTGTACGTCCTTTGCTTGGCAATTATGCAATGCTACTTATACAACAACACATCCAATGCTACTTATGCAAATGTTATTTCTAATAGACCTTCGGCTCAGAAAAATGCAATGCTACTTATGTTTTACAATATTCATTGTCAGGATATAACCATGATATATTGTTCTTTCCAAGTCTTTTGCTCTTACTGTGCCTTATTTACAGGTCTAGTTGCTATGTTTATTTCGATAATCAATTTTTCATGTTACACGTGGCATGAGGACCAGCATATCCTTTACGTGGCATGAGGACCAGCATATCCTTTACGTGGCATGAGGACCAGCATATCCTAGTCTGTAATTCCTTATTTCAGTGTGTTAACCCCATTTACTTATGCAACTAAGATCTGCACCTTTGCCCCCTTCTTTGTCATTAAATCTCTTGTTTTGTATGTGAGAGGGCTTTTGTGTAATGCTTATAATCTAATACTTCATTGCTGCTATAATAATCTCTCGTGATGTATCATGTATGATCATAGGCATTTTCTGTACGTCCATATCGAATGAATTCCAACTTGACCAACATAAATTTCTGGATAGGCCAATCAGTGGCGTATATATATATCCACATTATTGTATGGGTGACCAGTGGCATAGAATTTTTCGTAAGCGATGTCACACTTTAAAAGCGAAAAAATAAACAAAACACCACTAAAACTGAAGAGGTGCAACTCTTCAGAATGACTGTTTATGCAAAACGGCCATAACATAAATGCCATAACATAAATGGCTAATTTATGCGATAATAAACCGGGCATTGAAGAGGGAGGTTAATTTTCAGTTACACAACTGAAAAACCGAAAACGGATAACGGAAAAACGTTTAATATTCCGTCGGATTTAATATTAATATTCTGTTATTAAAGCGAATATTGAATAATATTTCTGTTAATATTTACTATTAACAAATAAATTTGGTCCAAAAAATTAATCAAATCCGAAGCCGAGCGACGACGGCAAGGCTTGCCTTCTTCTCAACTGTTTAAGAGCTAGAAGAAGAGCAATTGCTTATATATCAATCAAAAACCTCTTCCTCTTCCAATATGGGACAATGTCCCTTTGTCGGGGGGGGGGGGTAGGGGG